GCCGACAATATTTGTAGAAAAAGAAATCAAGCAATAGTAACAGTATCATAATAATGTATGCAACATTATTATGACTTAGGAGGCAACATTCCCTTAACACAGCAATAGCAATCTGAGAACAGCGAGCCGTAGCATACAGACCCAGAATTTATGCCGAGTTTACCTGAGCCATTAGTCACCTGAGAATACCTGAGAAGTTGAGAGTGCTGCATTTGTGCGTCGATCTCTCATCTATACAGTTATACTGTGGTCAAAATCAGTCTAGGCAACGCATTCGAGTCCCATTCGGACTCACAGTGCCCTATTCAAAGACGCGGTGACTGGCCGATGTATACGACAGTGCTTTCATCCTCGTAGACTCGTCTAGTACCAATTGACCGACTCCAGGAGGATGGAATGCTTGTTGGCCTAGGCTAGTATTGAAGTGGGATTCGATCTTTGAACTGTACGTACGTATGTGATACTTGGCAGTTAAACACCCCTAACCTTCCAACGATAATGCTATAATACCTTAGATGTCAAACAAGCCCACAATTACGAACTTTTCTAATCTTCTGTATCTGTGTTGAGTTTTCCCCAGAAAACCTTTCATTTTTTATATAGTATAAGTATATTGTAAAAACATACCTATAATTGATAAGATATAATAGCAACACATTCGTAGACACTGCAACCGTAACGAAAATAGCATAATAGCAGTTAACGAAGACTGGGTCAAAATCAATGATGGCCATTTCGTATTTGAACGTTTCGACTTCAACCTACCTGAACTTCCTTCATTAGTTGCAAACTTAATTTTTCGGAAGGATTGTGGGAGAGGGGATGGTGCCTAATGGTCTTTTTACGCTCGACGGTAGGGTGTCTCTTAATGCTACAGTACATGTACCTGGATCAAGAAGTCGATATGATGAATAGCCTACCTCTAGAGCTTGGCAGTAGGGAACGGTGTATTCAAGGATATCGAGGGAATAGTGAAGAAGACAAAGCACATCTGGCTCCGCGCTCAACTTTTCGACACTGCATCCCTTCTACCTTGACTAACATCCTGCTCGCTTCAGAAACTCGGACTCTCCGCCACTCCGTGAAATTCAACGGGCGGTGGAAGGTAAATGGTACGAAGTTTCTCAATTCACGAAAGTACACTGGGAAATCCAGAGTTATGGGTTCCGTCACCGAAGTAGATTAGGGAGTTCGTTGATCAAGCGAATAAACCAAAGATAAGGTGGGCCGGATATCCTAGGCGGTTTCGTTATGGCCGTTGGAATAGGGCGATTACTGACTGGATCATTCAGGACGTCAAATGCACACCAAAAAGGTCGCCATTGTAATGGTGAGACTTATTCATGAAAACTTTGAACGAAAGGAATGCTATCCCTCGGGGCAATACGATCCACTGGAATATTTTGGCTCGCGACATGGGCGAATGGAGACGTTAAGGGCTCCGGTTTGAGGAAGTCGATGATCAAGGAGTGACAGGTGATACAGGTAATAGGTGGAAAAGGTTTATAGGCGAGACAACCACAACTGACCACCATTAATGCAAGCCGCCCACAGAGAAGTGGGCGAAGAAAAACCACTAAGACGCTTTGACTCTATTTACTCGACGTATTTGTGGTTTCTACGGTTGCTATAGAAGCTCGTTCACACAAACACCTAGGAGAAATTTATGCGCAACTCAACTGGTTTCAATAATACCAAAACATTGGATGAATTTCGGAGATATTCTGGCTACTCGTACTACCCCCACCCCTTCTCCTCCTTCCCATCCTCCCTTAACCCATTGACGACCGCGTGGCCCGCCGGAGGGCCACACCGTATCGTGTACCGTAGTATTTATATTATTTATCAAGTGTTCTTATAATTTTTTCCATGATTTCAAGTATCAGCTGAGCTCACAGTCTTCTAGAGAATCTTGAGGCATTGTGGTCCAGGAATCATTCATTTCCAACTACAGTTANAAGAGAGATTAAAAGTTAATGTAAGGACAGTATAAAAGGCGCGGTCGCCAATGCGTTGAACTAGTCGATGCTCCTTCGATAGTTGGTAGCGGTAGTATGCTGGAGAAAATAACAGTGAAAAAGAGAATGGGTAATAGAGACGAGCCCACTGAAGCAATGATATGCTTGGTTGGCCATCTATGATCCTGACTGCTCTTGCACGGGATATTAGCGATCAACAACACGCCACAGTAGCTTACGGAGTTGGAGCCATATGAGTAAGCTAACAACCAAGAAACCTATTTTACAAAAGTAAAAAACAAACTCAAAACGTGTTTTGAAGAGAGCGCCAACTTCAGAGGGGAATGGTTGAACAAAGATTTCACAATATTACCAAAACTTAATCTACGGTGCCATCCCCCTACGGCTTCCAGATTGAAGTTCACTTTTGACATTCCTCAATAACTGCTGTCAAGCCGTTCCAAAGAACCGGAGTTGTAAGAGAATTATTCGGGAATACTGATGAAAAGTGAAAGTGAGAGTTAATGTAATTGTTTCGCTGTTCCAGCAATGATGATGGGGGGGAACTATTCTCATTTGCCTGACTTTTCGATCAGATCGTCTACCCCGAAGGCCAGACCATCATTACATAAGGGATCGACACCACTACCGATCAGTTGTTGGGTGTTAGCCGCTTTGGCGGTGGACTGATCTTTGAAGAAGGCGATCCGGTCGGAAGGCCAGGCCAATGATAAACCGTTCCACTCATCAATCTCAGCGACACAGCAAAACAATTCAATTAACATCAATGTCGAGGTTTTATGGAAAGAGACAGCGGAGTCTGTTGAAAGTAAAGGCGGAAAGAAGTGATCGTTCTGCGAAAAGAACCAGAAGAACCCGAGGAAAAAGATTCTCCTTCTTTGGAAAAGGTTAATAGACAAGGATACCGTCTTGTTGGTCATCACTCAAAACAGAGAGAGAAGGAATAGTCTGAAATGGTACCCAGTTCCAATCCAGATAATGGTCCAAGGCATGGTTACGGGACTGTTACCACACAGGCCAAGAAAGCTCTCTATCTCTTTACTCTTAGTAAATCCCCTTCTCCCCACTCCCCGCAATACAGTCCTTTCCTTCTTTCCCGAAAGTGTTGCTTCCGCAAGTTCTGCCACACAATAACCTTGACCACTGTTTCTTATATCAAGCTTTTCGACGTTAATTGGTGTTGACTGCACACAACCCAAAGGGAGATACTGTTTTCTGACGTAGTCCAAAGTCTTATGTATGAATCGATCATTCTCCATTAAAGATCGTAAATCATCATATGCCATTCATAATCACAAGTTGTTATTGTTGGCATCTCAAGCCTATGACGTTACTGTAATGATGGCACGTAAATTAATGACCGCAGCAGTAGCAGCAGAACGATAAGAGCTATCAGACCACGGCCTCTGCTAACATTGTGTAGCGACCTCAGTGGAACTTATCGGTCTATCGGACAACGCCAGGAAAGTTCCTTTCATTGTCATCGTTTGCTCACAAATATCGCTTCTTCTGAAGATTGCAGTAACAGTTCTGTTTATATTTTTTACAATGATTGGATATGCTATTTTTGTGGTTAAATAGATTCTTATCCAGGACCGTTGGGGTATGCTCCCTCGAGGGTCACCCACCTCCTCCATACCTATTCACATTACGAAAAATGTTGTTGTTAGGGAAAGTGGGCGAAGAGGTGTGTCAAAGGGCTCATCAGCAACAAATTGCCAAACTTCCTGTGATCCTTACTCAATCAGACTCCGGTTTTCTACCAATAGACCATATACAGTCCCGATTCTGTGGGCACAAGATTCACCCTGCTTCCGACACTGAGCTCTAAAGGCCTACACTGAGGTAACCCGAAACAGTATTGCGTTGAACATTTTGTGCGATTCAATTCGATGTCTGACGGCTCCTAGACCTCACACTACACTTCTTTCGAGTTTCTTCTCTTATCTGTATACAAGCAAAATTTGACATGACTGTGTTTATATCTGTGTCCTTTTTCTGCTATCAAAGTAGTCCAATCAAAGAAAAGGAGATTGCTTTAACTTTGATAATGACCAAAAGGTCAAAGTCCTTTGTTGATAAGACCGCATGGTGTAGTGGGTCATAAGAGATTTTTTAGACAGAAACTCCACGAGACGTCGTCGTACAGGCAGGCATCGACCCAACGGCCCAACACCCGCACCCCATACCCACATACACAACTGATAGCGTGTCAGTGTCGTCTTTGTGTATTGCGCGAGCTGTATAGACGAGTTTTATTTAACAGTAGCATCGGCATGTTTGTCAATCTATGCACACCCTATGAACCCCATCTTTACCTCCCTCCCACATTCTTGTCTATGTGGGTCAGCCCTCAGCACCACAACCCTTCCATACCCATCTTGTCTCTATAGCTTCGCCTGTCCTGTTTGTGGGCATTGATGTTGTTCTCAAAACGTCATTGGGAAAAAGTCACCCCCCCCCCCCTCCCCTCGCGCCGATTTCGCCCCCATCACATGAGCGGTTAACTTATTCTAAAAAACAACTGGGAACCTGGAGAGTGAGTCAGTCGTCCCCCAGCCTTCCACAGGAGAGGATGTCTCAAGACCCCCATATAACAGGCTGGATATTTTCCCTCAGCCCATCCATTAGACCTTGTGGCTTTATGCTTTTAGTTAACCAAATTTTTTGTATGATAACACTGTATAAGAATTAAAATCAGCTGAATCTAATAGTGTTTAAGTGAAGTTCAATTTATTCCTCGAATAATTCTAGTATAGCTGATCAAACAATCAAAGATCGCTAACAGAACCGTGCTGCACCCTCCCTTTCTTTCCCTTTTCCAGTTCTAGCGACTCTTCACGAAGAATTACTATCAACAGAGATAGCATAACTAGTAGCTTTCCTGCTTAACCATCTGAAGTCGATACGTCCCATTCGACCGTCGTTTTGGTAAGAAGCGCCCTTTTCGGACCCTGTAGAAGGCGAATCCACGGTAAAGTTCTCCCCTCAGGCATGATACAAAGGAAATTGAATCTTGAAATGAAGCCGGAGTATTCAGCCAACAACCCGAGTAACCTTACTGCTCACGGTAAGTCAGGTATGAGCAGTCCCAGGCTTGACGTACCCATGAGCCCGACTCCATACTTGTTCCAAACCCACTGGTTCCGTACGGAAAGCTTCAAGGTGCTACCAGGGATTGG